ATGAAGCTTTAACCGCGAGAACCATCGAGCGAAAAGAGCATATTTCCGAGGAAGTCTCAAGCGAAAAACACAATTAGTTCGAGGATGTCAAGCGAAATAAACAATGGTTTGAGGGTGTCTCAAGCGAAATAAGCCATAGTTTGAAGATGTCTCAAGCGAAATGCGCAAAGTTTCAGGATGTCTCAAGCAATAATTTGAGGATGCCTCCAGCGAACTAAGCAACAGTTTGAGGATGTCTCACGCGAAACACCATTATTTCGAGGATGTATCAAGCGAACTAAGCAAGTTAGTTCGAGGGTGTCTCGAGCGAAATATGCAATAGTTTGAGGGTGTCTCGAGCGAAATACGCAATAGTTTGAAGATGTCTCAAGCAATCGTTTGAGGATGTCTCAAGCGAAATAAGCAATAGTTTCAGGATGTCTCAAGCGAAATACGCAATAGTTTCAGGATGTTCCAGGCGAAAGCAGCAATCGTTTGAGGATGCTTCAAGCGAAAAACACAATTATTTCGAGGATGCCTCAAGCGAAATAAGCAATAGTTTGAGGATGTCTCAAGCGAAATAAGCAATAGTTTCAGGATGTCTCAAGCGAAATACGAAATAGTTTCAGGATGTTCAGGCGAAATCCGCAATAGTTTGATGATGTGTCAAGCGAAAACACAATTAGTTCGAGGATGTCTCAAGCGAAATAAGCAATAATTTGACGGTGTCTCAAGCTAAATAAACAATAATTCGTGGATGTCTCAAGCGAAACAAGGGATTTGTCGAGGATGTCTCCAGCGAGATAAGCCATTGTTGAGGATATTTCTATGAAGACTAAACGCCAAGGATGTCTCAAAACGTGCTCGGCTTGGTCTCCTCTGGATCATCTCTTACTTCGAGATTATGCTGAGGTCTGGTGGGCTACTTTTATTATCTCCCCCTGAACCCCGAACTTTATTTTCCCCTAGCGTTTATTCTCGAAGGTATTCGGTTAGGCGGATGCGGGAGTGTAGAGGCACGACGCGAGCAAAGGACGTGCTCAAGCGTGCGCGCGCTGCCTCCGATTGGGGAGCCAGGTGGCAGGGACGGAACAGCTCAAGGCTCGCCCGAGTTCGCCAGGGCCGATGCGAAGCCGGGACAGATCGGACCTGGGAGGCCGAGTTCGCACACGCGGGGCCAGAACCACGGCGCCCCTGCGTCCTCAGGGATCCACAGCAAAATGTGGGCGCTGGGATTCGACGCGCGAACGCGCGCGAAGTGCTCCAGGCACGCCGAAGCAAGCGCGCGGGGGGGCGCGCCTACGCCACGTGACCGGCCAGGTCGGGCTCGAATGCCATGCGTTCTGGACGTTTCCAGAGGGGACCAGGGAGGTGCAAATGACGCCCAACCTGCGTTGAACCTCGGCAAACAAGTCAACGCGGAGCATGGCCAAACGGAACGGGCCCGTGCTCCAGGGGGGTGCAAATGTGGCATATCCGGAACGCCTGCGTCCGCAGTTGCTCTATTTTTCCCGGCAAATGTACTGCCAGAACCCAACATGAAGAAGCGCATTCGGAGTCCTCCGAAGCTTGGGCGAGCCGTTCCAAATCAGGGATCGGCCGCAACGCGCGTTGGCATAATGGATCGTGGGGGTGTTGTCGACGAAGAAAAAGTCCTTCCAACCGAGGAGAACGAGACGTTCTCGGCGGACACGCTCGACAACCACCCATAATTCATTATGATTGATTGCGTCTGCTTCTGGGAAGCCCTGCGCGGCTGCAAAGTTAGACGGGCAGTCTCCAGAGACGACCCTACCGCAGCTGCACCAGTGGTAGCTCCACCCATGTTCAGTGCTGGCGTCCGTCTCGATCGCAAGGATCTTGCCGCGCGCCACGGGCTCCTGCCAGCGCTGGAACTCGGGCGAACTGTAGCCCCACAGTGGCGCATCGCCGCCCGAACAGAATAAGGCCCAGAACGAGGACGTGGCGAAAATGCGCTGCAAATATCGAGTGGTATCCCGGCTCTGTTCTGACAAGTGGGCCAGAGAGTCCGACTTCGCGATGGAGACCGCCGCGCAGCGTATACATTTGCCGAAGTAATGTTATCTGCCCAAATCGCGTGCATCTGTCGCCTCGACTGCAGCAGCAGCTCCGCGAGGTGGGAGGCGAGTCCAGCGAATTCCGCGAGGGCTTTGCGGCGCAGTGAGCGGTTGTTATCCGACTGCAACACTCGAGGACGAAAAAACGCCATAACCGCTCCGCGCGGATTTCTTGGATCTGCGCTGGACCCCCTCCTTGGCGCGCGGAGCGCGCCAGGGGCGGCGCCGCAGGCGACGCTGGGGGGGGCCCAGCGCGGATCCAAGAAATCCGCGCGGAACGCCACCAACAGTTTATGCTTATGTGGTTTTTCCTTCTTCGAAACACGTCGGCGCACGCTTTGCCGAATTTGTCACACTTCGCAGAGAACGCCGCCACGACGCATTCGACTGCGTCGAACACCCCCCCTATCCACTGCTGGGGCTCAACGCCCGAGGGTTTCGAACTGATGGGGATCGCGCACGAGAGGAGGAAGTCGACGGCAGCGCAACATTGGCGCCACGCGTTGCCCTCGGTCCCTGCATTTCCCAAACAAATCGCCAACAAAGTCGGGCAAGTCAACCCCCTGGCCATCGCTCGGACGTCCATTCCCTGTGTGTGTTTTTTTTTTCGGTTTCGTACGTGGTCGAGGATGCTCCTCGAAGGTCCTCGCCGAGAAAGAAAATGCACACGTTCGAGAGATGCCAAGCCCCCGTCTGAACTTCACTGACGTTTTCGTCGTTCGCGCCAGGCGCATTTGACGGGCCAAACGGTCAAACATTGGAATAACCAATTTGTCGCGTCGATGGCAAGTAACAGCCAAGCAGCAAAGCATATTGCACCTCCACGCGCCAATTAACATAACAATATTGTCGGTCGAGGACAAGCAGCCATGACCCCACGCGCAGGCGATTCGCTGCTTTTGCTCGAGCATTCCATAACGCGCGGGTGCTTCGGGAAGAAGCTCGGTGATTCTCCCCTGCCGGAGGTCCACAATAAGATGGGCCTTCCATTTGTCCTCCGCCAGAACCTCTGGGCGGTAGCTGGAAGCTCGAGAACCAACGCGCAGGGATTGATGCTTAAACCTGTCAGCTTGGGAACTCCTGGAAACAACAGCATTACCTTTTTGTTGCGTGAAGCCGGGCAAATTCACGTTCCACCCAAGGCTCGTGAGTGGCGCAAGAAGGGCGGCTGCGAACTTGTCTGGGCCGGGCGCCTTCTGCTCCGAACTTGCGGCCGCGCTGCCAGAGCTCCAGGAAGCGCTGGCCGACCCACGGCCGACGCCAGGAAATCGGAAAGGAGTGTGAGGCCGGGAGCCCCGCCCTACCAGGGCAGATTTGCATCTGCGATGCGCATCTTGTCGCGCAGAGCCTTCGTGTCTGGGTCGAGCCAATGAGCTGCGGGCGGCGGGAGGAGTGGTGGTGGGGGGCATGTGTTCCCTCTTTCTCTGTCTCCTCTTCCTTTCTCTCTCCCCTCTCTCTCTCTCTCTCTCTCTCTCTCTCTTGCGCTCTACAATGATGTACCTATTGAAATGCATCTGACTGATGCGCTGATCCGATATATTGCTCCTTGCGCTGGTGACAACGTTTACATCGCGAAAGCCTTTGACCGCCTGGCGACCAAAGGGGTGCACGCCATCGCCGGATCAAAGGAACATTTGAGGGGCACCGGCCCTGGGACTGGCGGCCTGGCGGTCGAGGGGATGCGCGCCAGCACCGAATCAAACGAGCATTGGGGGGGGGGGGGTGCGCCCTGCGACCTGTGCACACGAGCATTTGGGGGACATGCGCCCTGAGGATTTGAAGCCATCGGCGGCGCGGGGCCAGCGACCTCCCCGACCATGGAAGGCGGCCGTGGCGCCTGGGAGTGCACCCGAGTTACCGCACCCTACCCCAGAAGCCCCTTTCACGAGAGCGCAGTTCGGGAAGGGTACTTCCAGGAAGGCCCGAAGATGCCCAAATATTCGCTTCTTTTCAGCTTTCCATCGGCAAGACGGCCCCAAGCGGACCCCAAGACGGCGCAAGTGGCCTCCAAGACGCCCAAGATGGCCTCCAAGACGGCCCCAAGCGGGCCCAAAGACGGCCCGTAGCCATTTTGGCTCAAGGCAATCTCGAGCCAAGCCCCCACGGGCCATCCCACCGCGCTGCAGTGCCCCATTGTAGCCGCCGCAGTCTCCGCAGCCATGCGCGCCGGTCTGCTCCTGCTGGTCCTCGCCACCGGCGCGGGTGAGCGGGGCGCGGCGGCGACCCGCGCCAACCGAGTCCGCAGGGCCGTCCAGATGCTCCAGGCCATGAAGAAACAAAAAAAAAAAGGTGGCCCAAAAAGTAGAAGCCGAGTCCGAAGTGTTCTCGAAGTTTACGTGCTACTGCAAGCTCTCAGCGAGCTGACCCACCTCTTCGCCTTCATCGGCTGCGCCGGGCCCCGCGGGGCTGCGCGCCGCTGAGGCGTCGGTGCTGAGAGACACTGAGGCCAGGATGGGTGACGTGCGACCGCCCGCCAAGATGGCCTCTGCTAACGGGTCGCCACAGCAGCGTACAGCTGTGAGGGTGGAAGGGGCGATGTGGGCCGGCGTCCCTCCTCCCAGGCATCGTGGAAAGAATGGCGTTCTGTTCTCTCGCCAGGTGCCCGAATCTCGCAAGGCCATCGTGGGGCGGGGAGGGGCCAAACCTCTTCGCATCATGCCGTTGCGCGCCGAGGAGAACGGCGCGCCGAGACGCCACCTCCATCGACCGGCTCATCAGAGACAGCCGGGCGCCGAGTGGAGGCTTGTGACGTTCAACACACAGGGTTGGGATGTCTTTCGCAACGATAATCGCCACAAAACTGCCAGTATTGTGTCTGCTGCCAGGGAGGGGAGGTGGGACCTTGCTTTCTTATCAGACATACATTGTTCTTCGGAAGGGGATCAATTGCAGTTGGTTGGAGTGGAGGAGTTTTTGTTGCTACAGTGGGGCTGCGTCGGGCTCATGCTGGCGGCCCCCGCGTCGAGGGCCTGGCGGGCCGGAGGCGCCGGAGTCGTGCGCGTGCCGGACTGCGACCGCCTGCTCACCATCACCGTGCCCATCAACGGGCGGAAGGTCGTCTTCACCACCGGCTACCAGCCGACGGGCGCGGCGCCCCGCGCAATGCGGGACGAGTTCCTGGAGCACTTCCGGGAGCTGCAGGAGGTGATCCCGTCCTGCTCCCAGCGCATCATGGGCGGCGACTGGAACGCCCACGTCGGCGCCGACGCCGCGGGAGAGCCCGGCATCGGGCCCAAGCTGCTCAGCACGCCCACAGCCAGGCACAGCCGCGCTTTCACGAAGGTGCTGGAGGATCATCGTCTTCGACGCGTCGATTCCCACCTCGCTTGTCGTCAGAGGGCCACGTGGCGATCGCTAGGCATCGAGCAAGGCCGGTGGCACGAGAATGATTACTTCATCACCGACGGCCCGGTGTCTGCGAAGCGGTGGAAGCGGCTGCGGACCTTCGCCATGCCGTTCGGCGACCACTTCGCCAAGTTTGTGTCGTACTGGCCTCCTGGCAAGCCCCAGGGGCGCCGCGATGTGCGAGAGCTCGTGAACGGCTTCACACTGGAGCCGAGACCAGCCGGGCGCCTCCGCTACGACTTGATGAGGGGTCCGTCTCCCGAGGCAGCCGCTCTGCGCGCCGAGTTCGGCGAGGCCACGGGCCGCGCCCTCGGGGAGCCCGACAGGCCGGCGTGGGGCGAGCTCGCCGCCGCCATGCGCACCGCTGCAGAGGAGGTTCTGGGTCGTGCCCCACGGCGTGACGACGTGCCCGTGCTACAGAGGCTGCGACCCACCGAGCAGGCGCACCGCCGAGCACAACAGCGCAGCTGGGAGGCTGTGCGGCGGGCCATCGGCACCGGCGCCGAGGAGGAGGCTCGGAAGGAGCATCGCCGCCTCCGCGCCCAGCACCGGAGGGACCCACGGAGCCTCCGGCGCCAGATCGTGCACGGCGTGGTGACCGACCTTGAGCACGCCGCCTCCTGCCACGACACGGGGGCCTTCTACCGCGGCATGAAGGACCTCGGCGTGTGGCTCTCCGACAGCAACACGACCGGCCGCGAGGAGTACACTCCCGAGGAGGGCAAGGACCACTTCCTCAATATTGGCGGCGACCCCAACCCAGTGCCGGAGGAGGTGCTCGACGACCTCCCGGAGGCTTTCTGGCAGCAGGGGCGCGCGCATGCAGAGACGTTGGGCCGGCCCCCGCGAGACGCGGAGATCGATCGCGCCATCCGTGGGCTTCGCGACAGCGCCCCGGGGGACGACGAGGTCACGATCGGCATGGTCAAGGCGGCCGGAGCGCCTGTGGTTTCGGAGGTCTGCCGCCTCGTCCGCCTCTTCTGGGACACTCCGCACGAGCACTGGGTCGAGGTGCTGGGGCAAGAGCCGCTCCGCGCAGTCGTCATCCTCTTGTTCAAGAACAAGGGGTCTCGCTCCGACCTCGACAATTACAGGGGCATCTGCCTGCTCAGTATGCTTTCCAGGATCGTCGCCAAGCTTGCTGCCACCAGGGTGTCCCAGTGGGCCGAAGCCTCGGGCCTTCACGTCCGGGAGCAGTGGGGCAACCGCAAGTACCGCTCCACGCGGGACGCCGTGCTGATCATGCGTATCCTGTTCGAGGGGAGCGCTCGGGCGGGCCAGATGGTATCCGACGATTCTCTTGCCGCTGTCCTGGTGGACGTGAAGAAGGCGTTCCCGAACGTGCCCAGGGCTCTCTGCTGGAGGGTGCTCACTCGCCTGGGCGTGCCGCCGGCCATGCTCAACGTGCTCCAAGGCGTGCACGAGCAGACGTTCTACGTGGTCAGGACCAGCGCCGGGGACTCCTCCACTTACGAGCTGCGCCGCGGGCTCCGCGAGGGCTGCCCCACCAGCGGTATCCTCTACACGGTGTTCCATAACATCGTGCTGTGGCGGCTGCGCGAGGAGCTGCAGGCGGACCAGCGGGTGAACTTGCATCACACCCCCGCCCGGCCTCTGCCGCGCGCCACGGAGCAGCCGGACGAGGCCGACCTCGACGCCTTCATCGTGCACTTGCTGGCTTTCGCCGACGACACTACCGTGCTTACGAGGCAGAAGCACTCTCGCGCTGTCGAGGACATGGTCATCAGGATCATGGCCAGATTTGGCGAGACGGTACACCCGGGGAAGACCGAGCGGCTCTGCGCGGCTGCCAAGACGGAGGCGGCCCCTCCTGGCTTTCTCATGGCGGTGCGGCTGCTGGGGGCGTGGTTCGACACCGACGGCGGCACGGAGCAGGACGACACCAAGCGCATTCACGCCGCCCGGCTCGCGTGGCGACGCCTGCACAAGCAGCTGCCCAGACTGCGGCTCAGCAGCCGGCTCCGCGGCGCGGTGGTGCAGGCCACGGTCGTGGCCTCCCTGCTGTGCGCCTCCGAAGTTCGCCCATTCTCCCCTGCGTCATTGAAGGCCTACCAGGTTTTCCTGAACCGGGTCATCCGCGGCATCACCTTTGATCGACGTCGAGGCGGCACCCGCGCCATGGAGGGCGCGTGCACCAGTACAGACCTGAGGATCGAGGCCGGGATCGACGCCGTCCCGGTGCAGGTGCTGAAACGGCAGCTAGGGTACCTCGGACACCTCGCCCGCTACCCCAACGATCGCCTCGAGCAGCACAAGCTAGGCCTGTGGCTCGCTCCGCCCCCGGAAGCTCAGGAGGGTGCCGGGTCCCTGGCTTCCCGTTGCCCCACGCTCAGGGACACTTACTGGAAGCGGATCGTCAGCGTCATGGGCCTCACAGGCATGCCAGAGGAGGAATGGCCCGTGCGCTGGATGGAGGTCGCACGCGACCGGCGTGAGTGGAAACGCCTCTCCGACACCTTGGTGTGGCACGAGCGCCAGCGGTGTGACGCCGACACTTGGGCCAACAGACACTCTGAGAGCGCCACCGCCTACAGAGCCGAATTGCAGGGCGCGCAGAGATGCCCCCGCACCGGCGAGCAACGCTGCCCCCGCTGCGGGGTCTGGTGCGCGAAACTGGGCAATCATCTTCGGACCTGCGACGGCACCCCGCCGCCGGCTGGCCGTCTCGCGCCACGTTTTGTCGACGGACAGCAGGACGGCATGCGGATCCGCCCAGACCGCCGCAAGGCGCAACAGCAGCAGCCACCCCCGCCGCCCGCTCCTGCGGCGCCCGCCCGCCGGCGCCTCCGGGGCAAGCAGCCGCCTCCCGCGGCGCCGCCTGCTCCGCCGCCGGCCCCTCACGTGGACGACGCCTACGCTGGCGGAGCTGGAGGCCGGGGCGCCTGGGGCGCACGGCGCCTGGGGCTTGAGCCCAGGAACCAGGCACGCAGGCGGCAGGAGCGCCACGCCACCCACCTTGTCGCTCCGGCGGCAGCAGCAGGAGGAGGCAGAGGAGGCAGAGGAGGAGGTAGAGGAGGAGGAGGAAGAGGAGGTGGCGAGGGAGGCGGCATCGAGGGCGAGGGAGGCGGCATAGAGGAGGGAGGAGGAAGAGGAGGCCCCCATGCTTACGCCACTGGCGACGAGCTTGCGCCCTACCTGAAAGACGGCTCCGGGTGCGCATTCTGTGGCGGTAAGCACAACAGTCCCTGGGCATATTGTCGTGCAGCTCCCTTCCGAGTGTGGCTCGGCGCGGTCATGCGCAAAGTGGCCAGGAAAAACACGGACGCAGAACGGCAGACCTGGTCGTACGCGTGCCCTTCCTGCGCACATCCCTGGCCCTCCCTCCGCGCCGTCGCCGCGCGCAAGGTGCAATGCGATCTCCGCCGTGCCGCAGCTGGTCTCCCCAGGGTCGGACCGGCAGGGGCGGCCGTCCATGGCTGCAACTGGCGGGGGAGCCGGGGCCGCGGACGGGCTCGCAGCTGCGCGCGCGGCCGTGGCGGCGCGCCGCCAGCGGGCCGGGGGCGCGGAGCAGGTTCGCGGGGAGGTGCCGGCGCGCCGGCGCGTGCAGCCCCGCGGCTTGCCGCGGGAGGCGCCCGCGCCGGCCGCGGCCGCGGCGGCAGGAGATGCCGCCATGCCGCAGGCCGCCGGGCAGCTGGCCCTGCCAGACCCCGCTGCGCCCGCCCCCGCCGGGCGGCTGGCCCTGCCGGCCCCCGCTGCGCCCCGGGCGGCTGCTGCCGCTGCTGGCGCTGCTGGCGGCGCTCCCGCTGCTGCCCCCGCCCCCGCTGCCCCCGGCGGCGGCGCGGCCCGGCCAGCCGGCAAGGGCGGCGCCAAGGGCGGCCGCAGGCGAGGAGGCGGCGGCGGCGGCCAGGGCGCAGGCGGCGGCAAGGGCAAGGGGCACGGCGGCAAGGGGCGAGGCGCCGGCCGCGGCCGCGGGCTCCCCGGCCCCATGGAGGAGGTCGTGGAAGCGCTGGTCGCCCTCGGCATCAGCCACGAGCGGGAGCTCAACATGCACACCGACCGCGTCGGCGCCTTGGTGGTGCTCAAGGACGAGGAGCTCATCGACGAGGTGTGGGAGCTGCGGAGCGCCTGGCGCCAGGCCGACAAGGACCGCAAGGAGCAGCAGCCAGCCGACGGCCCCTTGCCCCCGCATCCCATGGGCAGCCAGCGCAGCATGCTCTTCAAGGCGATATGCGAGTGGACGGCGGGCAAGCTGCAGGAGGCCGACCCGGGCAAGCAGGCTGCCACCGACCTCGCCGCGACGCCGGCTGCAGAGGTCGACGCGTCCCTCTTCCGCTTCAAGCCGCGCCACGAGGACCCGATGGCCGACAGGCCCTGGGTATTCATCATCGTGTACTCGTTGCGGGTGCAGCCGGCCTTCCTGGATGCCCCCGCGGCCGTCCAGGCCGTCACCGTCCCTGGCGTGCGGTTCGGTGTGCTCCACACGGACGATGGCCCGATCGTGCAGTATCTCCGAGGAGCGCGCTGATGAGGAGGCAGAGGAGGAGGGGGAGGAGGAGGAGGAGGCAGAGGAGGCAGTGGAGGAGGCAGAGGAGGAGGAGGCAGAGGAGGCAGAGGAGGCTGGAGAGGAGGAGGCAGAGGAGGAGGCACACCCATCCTGCTGCTGGAGGAGGAGGAAGAGGAGGAGGTGGAGGCGAGGGCGGCACCCGCAGCCCGACAGCCCTGGAGCCGGAGGCTGGCCCCCGGTGCTGCTCGCCTGCGCGGTCCTCCTGGCACGCCCGGCCCGGCCCCCGCGGGGGCGCGCGCCGGCCTGCACGGCCGCCTCGGCGGCGCTGGCGGCGGCCCGCGGCAGACGCACGCCGCCGCCCGCAGGCCGGCGCCCTGGCCGGAACGGCAACTACAGCGAGACCCCACCCCACGGCACGCCCCACGCGCGCTGCGGCCGGCGCGGGCCCCCGGGAGGCAGGGCATCTACGACGCCATCGGCGGCGTCGCCTGGGTGCAGGCCTTCCTCGCGGTCCTGCTGGCGGGCTTTGAGTGCTACCACATGCTACTGCAAGCTGACCCACCTCTTCGCCTTCATCGGCTGCGCCGGGCCCCGCGGGGCTGCGCGCCGCTGAGGCGTCGTTGCTGAGAGACACTGCGGCCAGGATGGGTGACGTGCGACCGCCCGCCAAGATGGCCTCTGCTAACGGGTCGCCACAGCAGCGCACAGCTGCGAGGGTGGAAGGGGCGATGTGGGCCGGCGCCCCTCCTCCCAGGTATCGTGGAAAGAATGGTGTTCTGTTCTCTCGCCAGGTGCCTGAATCTCGCAAGGCCATCGTGGGGCGGGGAGGGGCCAAACCTCTTCGCATCATGCCGTTGCGTGCCGAGGAGAACGGCGCGCCGAGACGCCACCTCCATCGACCGGCTCATCAGAGACAGCCGGGCGCCGAGTTGAGGCTTGTGACGTTCAACACACAGGGTTGGGATGTCTTTCGCAACGATAATCGCCACAAAACTGCCAGTATTGTGTCTGCTGCCAGGGAGGGGAGGTGGGATCTTGCTTTCTTATCAGACATACATTGTTCTTCGGAAGGGGATCAATCCCACAGATCTGGGCGCATGAGAAAAATTGGAGCATGCGCACTTGCATGAGAAATCAACCGATTCAATTCAAGAAAAGCCATTCAATTCGGAACAACCAATTCACGAACGCTAATTCCCAGAAAAGCCATTCACATGTAAGTAATTATTTGTTCCCCTTCCTCTCCTGTTCCGTGCCCTTCCTGTTTTTATGTTTCGTCCTCCTGTTTTTCCCCTGTTGTTCCTCCTCCCTTATTTGTCTCGTCCTCCTGTTTTTCCCTTGTCGTTCCTCCTCCCTTATTTCCATGGAGCAGAAGAGCGAATAGGTGGAGCAGAAGAATGAATTGGTGAGAAGACAAGGGACGGTCACAGGCGCAGGCAACATTGCATGAGCTGCCCCACCTCGCGCGGCGACTTTGTCCAGGGCACCCTCGGCGGATCGAGCTTTACTCGGGCTCCTGCGCAGATATCCCTGCTGCGCGTAGGTGAAACTCACGCAGAGCCATCGACGTCGAATAGCACCCCAGTGGGAAAATACGCAGGAGGAGGAGGGGGAAAAGGAAGAGGAGGGGGAGGAGGAGGAGGAGGAGGAGGAAAGCGGAGGAGGAGGAGGAGGAGGAAGAGGTGGAAGAGGAGGAAGGAAAGGAAGAGGAGGGGGAGGAGGAGGAGGAGGAGGAGGAGGAGGAGAAGGAGGAGGGGGAGGAGGGGGAGGAGGGGGAGGACGACGAAAAGGAGGCGGCGGAGGGAGGAGGAGGAGGAGGAGGAGGAGGAGGAGGAGGAAGAGGAGGAAGAGGAGGAGGAGGAGGAGGAGGAGGAGGAGGAGGAGGGGGGGGGTGGAGGAAGATCATGAGGGGAACGAGGACATAGAACAGAAGAGGAGTACGTGGGAGCAAGAGGGGACATCGGCATTTAGTGTGCCAGCGCACACACGTACATGCACGTAGGAATGCGTATTCTCCTTGGGGTGTTCTACGTCAATCGCACGTTCAAGCCTCAAGTCGGCCTGCAAATTGGCATGCGTGTGAAACCGTGCTACAGGGCGTGTGAAACGGAGCTACGGGGCACCGCATACATTTCATTGAATACATATGATGGTGTTAAATGGTGATGATGATAATGATGATGCTGGCGATGATGGTGATGACGATAATGATGATCACGGTGGTGGGTGTAATGCGGGTGATCATGGTCACGATGCGGCGCCCGATCATAGCTCTATAAGGATGCGCTGCAGGAACGCAAAGTAAAAATTTGGACCGTGATGCAGAGCTTTGGCCACGGTCCCCATACATCTGTTCATGCTTTCGTCTGCGTAGCACCAGTACTTGGCTGGGTTCCCGTGGTCTTTCGCCCTACGGATTAAATCAAAAAAACCATGGTGTTTTTATACCTGGTGTCCTTCACACAACTGCCATAACTTAAGAAAACGTATAGTGGCATTGGCCATGGTATTGTATTCGACATCAGACATCGTTCGGCCGCGAGCTCGTTGTATAGTACTGTACACTTCGGCAAGCGCAGTGCAAGCCATGTGCAAGTGGTGGCCCTTGTGGCCGAGAAATCGCTTGTATTCCCTGCACAGTGTTGGAAGCAATGGCACTAGTAGTCGCGTCTGTGCCGCCTTGGCCTTTAATATTGGCGGGTCTCCTTTAATTTGTTTCCAGTGAAGATGCTGGATGCGCGACAAGTTATTCTTGTGAACCCGTCTCATGTTATAAAATACTTTCATTCTGCGGCGAAGGTGCCGCATGTTTGCAGCGTGCCGCGCCTCCTCTCTGGAGGCCGACGACTGGGCGAACTTACCTCTTATAAGTGTGTGCAGCACGAGGCCCGCTAGGTATTGAGCAACGCCTAAATCTAGTATGTGCATGCCATCTAAATGGATGCTCTCCACTCCAAACCCCCTGATCTTAAACAGGGAGCACACTAAGTTGATGCCAACATCAGTCTTCGAGTAAAAAAAAGTAAGCATAATTGGAGTGGGGAGGTCTGCTATGGTAGCAATGTCCTGGACAACCTCGCCCTCGACAACCCTATGACCAGCCAGCAACTGCAACTCGGGAAATGGTTCTGTCAGCGCAAACCCCCCGTGAACTTCACCGTGGGCCATCTTGGATACTAGTCGTTGGAGTTGGTCTGGATCGGCCACCATCCGCTGTGTCATGGCAGCTAGAACGCTTCTGGTATAGTCTGCATTATCTCTCTGTGCCCAGCGGCAGCGGTTCATGCTCACAGGGAAGTTGAACATGTCCGCGCGCGTGGTGCGGCATGCCAGGCAGGGCGTGGTCGGGTTCTGCCGCGTCTTGAAGCCGAGCAGGGCGGTCATTTCCAGTAGGTCCGCCCTGTATTCGCAGAGGGCAGCCCGAGCGCCCTCGGCAATCTCGAACCCACGGTGGGCCCAGCGCGCCTGATCTGTGAACGGGTACCCATTGTGATCAAACTCGGGATGAAGGCCAGATGCTAACGCCTGCATGCTCCAAACGATCACGCGTAAAATCCCTCTGAAAGTACACCAGCCCTTACACCCACATCTACATAGGTCCTTCTTTCGGACGGCGCAGATAAGATATCTGCGCGCAGTATACATGTTATTCCAATAGTGTGCTATGAAACTATCGTTCTTAGTGTGTGGAACACCGTCTGAAAAATAGCCGATCGGGAACGACTTGCACCCGTGCTCCAAGGTCACGGGGTGGTTCGCGTACGTGCTGGGCAGATCGTGCTGCTCTATCTGAGGCGGCACGCATAATCCCACACCACACCAAAACACACCCGAGGCCACCTCATGGATTCGCTTAAACAACGCTGCCCCCACTGCCGCCCGCCCAAAACAAACTGGCCCCAGGAGGCCGTATGGTCAGAATTATGCGTGCCATCTCCGCGCCTTGGCGACGTCGAAATCACTGGGGTTCTTCTCGAACTCTGCAGCGAAACGCTCGTGTGGAAGACTGAAGGGGAACTTGCGGAGCCGACGCTCCTCGCATTCAGAGTCCCACATGGGGATTTCAGCTGTGTAGAACGAGTCCTGTGGAGAAAACGACAGCCCACCCATATCCATATCCACCAGTACGAGAGGAGGTAAGTGGAACGGGGAGGGCGGAGAGTGAAAGTGGGAAGCGGGTAGTAAAGGGGACGATGATAAGGGTGAGTGTTTTTTTCTCCTTGCTTTGTCCTTGGTCGCAGCATCCACTACACGTCTCAAATGCCCCGTGTGGTGCCGATTATCTGGGCTCCGGGCCAAATCAGACACTCCCTGAGATCCAGCAGCCGACGAATATAATGCTATACTGCACACGTCCTTCGCCGTCATGTGCCCACTCCTGTACTTCGAAAGCAAGTAGCGTCTCAGCCCTGCGCCCCCATCAGGCCTGGGAGCTCGAGACTCGGGAACGCGCGACCTCGATGGCGCAGAGAGCCCGCTGCCCACCTCAAGCAATATACCCTCGCCAGCGGCTCGCCCAGCCATGCCGAGAGACACTCACTTTGGATGGGCGGGGGCTCGATCTGCGAGCGTGGCTCGAGGCGATGGCACGTGAAGCAGAAACTGCGCTGGACCAGACGATCACCACCCCGCCGCCGCTTCTCGTAGAGGGCACGGGGGAGCCAGGAGGAATCGACAGGAGCCGACCCAGCGCTGGGGCGGGAAACTCACCGAACACTTCTGGCGTGCAACATGTTGTCGCAACTGTACCGTGCATGGAACTAAGTATCATGAATCCGAGGACGCCGAGGACGGGGTGCATCAGCAGCCACCGCCTGGGAAACCGACCGTTCTTCACATGCGTGGACGTCCATCGCCCGTCTCAGCGGAGGTCGGTTCCTCAGGCGGTGGATGTGGATGACCCCGCGCCTCGCAAATCACAATGCACGTGATACAAACAACATGACCAACTCATTATCGCAATACCCGCCGGGCTCGCACAATCTTTTCCACTATCGCTGCGACACGCTTGTCGATCGTATCCACAAGCCGCATGCGCCGTTCAAACTACGGCGCATCACAATGCCGCTGCATCTACTTCAAGGGATGGGTGTGGGCCCCCCTCTCTGGACACGGCGACGCCCCCAGGATTCATGGGTAAGAAAACCTGTATAACGAGAGGGGCAGGCAGCATTGTGACGCTGAAAGAAAAGCGCAGCCTCCTTCCCGAGGCGGGTGCTGGGCCAGAACGCAGAGCTCATTTCCAGGGTCAGATGCCGAACCGCGGTCAAAACCTAGAAATTTCTTGAACCGACATGGTTCGATCCTAGGGGTAACCTCTTGAGCGACAACGTACGCTCTGCGTTCAAATCCTGGGGGCAACCTGCGGCCTGCCCCTACTTCTTCTTAGCGCTCTCGAGCGCCGCCGCCACGGACTGCATGATCGGCACGAGGTTGCCGTGCAGCTTCGTTGCGTCCTCGATCGCCGTGCAGGCTGTGGGGAACTCCTTCGAAGACCTGACTCGCCGATTTCAATTCGCGAGGGGTGCAGACTGAGGCGATCATGCTATCTCGGGGTACCTGGATGTCGCCCCCATGCATGCCTCTGCGTTCCTCCCCCGCCCGAGCCCTCCCTCCCTCGATCAGTT